AATATTCAGAAAGTGGAAACAACATAGATGTCCCTCAATCGAAGAATGGATAAAGAAATTGTGGTACATGTAGACAATGGAATACTCAGCTATTAAAAACAAGGACATAATGAAATTTGCAGGCCAATGGATGGAACTAGAAAAGATCATCCTGAGCGAGGTAACCCAGACCCAGAAAGACACACATGGTATGTACTCACTTATAAGTGGATATTAGCCATAAAGTACAGGATAGCCATCCTACAATCCACAGACCCAAAAAAGCTAAGGAATAACAACAGCCCAAGGGAGGATGCTTGAATCTCACTCAGAACAGGAAATAAAATAGACATCTGAAGTAGATGGAGGGAGGGAATGAGGTGGGACATAGGGTGAGGAGGGGAATGGAGGTGGGGATCAGATATGGGGAGGGGAAGACAGGGCTAGGAGAGGGAATGGAAATCGGTAGGGGGGTAATGGGGAAGGTTCCTGGGAGTCAAGGTAGTGACCCTCGCTGAGACTCCTAGCAGCAGGGATATGGAGGCTGAAGTGGCCACCTCCTGTAGCCAGGCACGACTTCCAGCAGTGAGAGGAGTACACCAATCTACTCACAAAACCTTCGACCCAGCCAATCAATGATTGGCCCAACTTGAGCAGCATTCTGTAAGAGAGAGCCCACCTCTGCTACTATCACTAATATTCTATTATGCTTGCAGACAGGAGGCTAGCATAACAGTCATCTGAGTGGCCTCATCCAACAGCTGATGGAAACAGATGCAGAGACCACAGCCAAACATTAGTCAGAGCTGGGGTAATCTTATAGAAGAGGAGTAAGAAGGATTCAAAGGATTCAGGACACCAGAAGAAAACCTACAAAATCAAGTAACTTGGGCCCATAGGTTCTCACAGAAATTGGACCACCAACCAGAAAGCATGCATGGGTCAGACTTAGGTCTCCCATACATACGTAACAGATGTGCAGCTTGTTCCTCATGTGGGACTTTTCACAGTAGGAGCAGGGGCTGTCTCTGACTCTGTGGTCTGTCTTTGTATCTCTTGCCCCTAACTGCACAACCTTGTCTAGCCTCAACAGAAGAAGATTGGCCCAGTACTACTTGATATGCCAAGGCAGGTGATATCCATGGCAAGTCTCCCCTTCTCTGAGAAGAAGGGGAGGGGGGGCGTAAGGAGAGTGAAGACAGGACTGGGAGGAAAGGATGGGGGTGGTTCCTATCAGGATGCAGAGTAATTGCTTAATGAAAATTTAAAAGAGAGAGAGAGAGAGAGAGAGAGAGAGAGAGACATGGTCCAGATATATCACTCCTGGGTGTATATCTGAAGGGTTCTAAATTAACATACCATGGAACTGTTTACACATCCATGTTTACTGGTGTACTGTTCAAAATAGCTACAAAATAGAACCATTCTACAGATCTACTCAAAGATGACCAGACAATGAAAATGAAGTACATATACACAGTGGTACTTTGTGCCACTGTGGTGATTTGAATGAAAATAACCCCCATAGGCTCACCGACAGGGTCATTATTTGAAAGAATTAGGACACGTGGCCTTGCTGGAGTAGACGTGGCTTGCTATAGCAACTATGTCACTGGGGGTGGCCTCTGGGTTTCAAAAGTTCAAGGCAGGCCAAGTGTCCCTCTCTTCCAGCTGGCTACAGATCCAGATGTAGAACTCTTGGATCCCTCTCCAGCACCATGTCTGCCTGCACACCACCATACTGTGGTGACAATGGACTAAATCTCTGAAACTGTAAGCCAGTCCCAATTAAATGTGTTTCTTTATAAGAGTTGAAATAGTCGTGGTCTCTCCACTAAAACCGTCACCATAAATAAAAATGATATCCTGACATTTTCAAGAAAATGAATGCAACTAGAAATCATTGTATTAAGAAAAATGTCAGATTCAAGAAACAAATACCATATTTTTTCCATAAGCAGAACTTGTTTTTAAAATGTGTGTGTGTGTGTGTGTGTGTGTGTGTGTGTGTGTGTGTGTGTGTGTTATTTGGGAGGGGTAAGGGTTGTCTCTGTGTTGTGTATGGTGTGTGGGGTGTGTGTTTGTGTGTGTAGGCATGAAACTAGAAATGAGATCAAGAAAGGCAAGAAAAGATCTTAAGGAAAGTGGATAAAAAGCAACTGAATACCTGTGACATGAAAGCAGAAGGAGGGATTATTTGGGGGATGGGAGAAGCAAGGGGAACACCCAGAGAAAGGATGGATGAAGTCAGAAGCGATGAGTGAAGTCAGGAGGAAGGGGCTAATTTAAAGTGAAGTGTGACACACATGCACAAAAAATGTTACACAGAAAAACATTACTTTGTATGCAAACTGAAAAACTGAGAAAGCCATGGCGTACCTGATACAGCATGATGGGTTCTATGTGGTATCCTAAGATATCAGCGAAGTTCTTAGCGATGACTGTTTTCCCACAGCCCTACAAACAGAAACACCATTGTGTGAGGGCTGGGGACACTCAAAGCTGACGAGCAAAGGCTTAAAATGAAGCTGCCATTCTTACCTTTCCTCCAATTAAACATATGTCCTTCACCATATGAGACTGCATCATCTCAGCCAGCAGCTGCTTATGACTCTGAGTCTGGATGAAACGGTCAGGTGCACAAGGCTGATTTAGTGCTCTAGTTCCCGCTGGCACCTGTCATTTTAATAAGGTAAATAAAATACACATTTTTTTCAAAATAGAAGTAATAAGAAGCACATAATTTTGACTGAAAAGTCCTTTACTACCATCTTATTTAATTCGACTCTATGCAATTGTTTCTCCATTCCAACAAGATGGTCCTTATCTAATGTTCACATTAGTCACCCCTCTAAAATTAAGTCCCACACTACCAAGCATGTTCAGAACATGTCATTTTCATTCTTTCTAACTTGTCATTAAAAAACCTACTACTAGTGCACAACATTATTTTTTTCGTAAACTCCAGTTATAGAACAAGATTCAGTTATCACACAACAATGAATTCCCTTCTTAAAAGCCATAACCAGATTCTCTCCACTTTTCTTAGTTTACCTCTAAAGTGTCTATCTGTGAAAAATCTTTCCTCCTATTCACCTACTTTTTCATTTTAGTTTTATTTTTTTTCTTTTTTCTCAGCTTCACTGGGCTTTGGACCTTTCTTCTCTGGAGACCCTTATTTAAGCTTTATTTTTCACTTATGTGTATGTATGTGTGTGTGAGTCTACACCACATGTGTAGGTAGCTGCAGAGAGCAGACATGTCTAATCTTCTGGAGCTGGAGCTCCAGGGAGCCACCTGACCTGGGTAATGGAAACTGAACTCTGTCCTCTGGAATAGCCACAAGCTCTCTCAACTGCTGAGCTATCTCTTCTACCGCTCTATGGGTTTTTTTTTAATTAATTTAATTTTTAACTTATACATAATCTTAAAAACCATGTGTATAAGTAGGATACTGTGTGATGTTTCTATATTACGTATATGTTGGGTAATGTTTGGATAAGATTGGCTGGTAAGAACTAAGGGCTAGCTGGAGAGGGCAGGATGCAATGAACTTGCAGGATCTTTACCAAGATGATCTGACATTATAGTGTATAAATTAAACATTAGAATGTATAAACATTATCTGTATATATAAACATAGATTAAGTGTGCCTCTTCCAATGCTTCTCATTTTTTTTCTTTTGGTTTGTTTGTTTGTTTTTTTTTTTCAGGACAGTCTTCCTATATCTAAGACTCTAATATACAAAATAAAATATCTAGTGTACAAAAAATACTCGCTAAAGTCTGAATCATGATAGAATGACTGATATTTAGTTCAAGGAATGGATAAGTACAGCTATATTTAAAATAATATTATGAAATAAATATATTTATTATAATAAAATAATAAATATTAATATATTAAAGTAAATTATCATAACAGACTTTTGCTAGGTCACACATAAGAAAGCAAGCATTTGTTCTTTCCTACTTTCTTACACTCAGCATTGTCAAGCTCTGCTTCATACAGAGCCCTAGACCCATACAGCAATGGTTAGGAGAAGAGAACACAGCAGAGGCAGCAGCTGGAGCACTAGGCCCAACATCATCCCCTCTCTAAGCACTGTTCAAGAGCATAGCTCCAGTTCAAACTGGTGCCTGCAGTTGGCAAAAACGTAACTTCAAAACAGGGTTCTCTACTAGGAAAATAGTTGAAAGCAATATTTCTTTTTTTCTTTATATTTATTCATTTTTCATACAATATTTTATCATGTTTTGCATCTCTCCCAATTTCTCCCAGATCTTCCGCATCCAATTTCACGTTCTTTCTCTCTCTCAAACAAACAAACAAAAATCAACATAAACAAAAAAACAATAAAATTAAAAAATGCCAGAACAAACAAAAAAGCTCACAAAACAAACAATCAAACAGCACAGAGTTTATTTTGTGTTGGCCCACTACTTTTGGACATGGGCCCTGCCCCTGATTGAGTGTGGTTGATGTATCTAGTGATATTCCTTTGGAGAACTGGTTTTCCCTTTGCAAGTGGGCATCCATTTGAAAGCACTATTCCTTACAGCACAAAACACTGTTCCTAGCCAACAGTGGATTTTCTCAGAGGTACACTTCACATTTGTGAAGGAGGGCTTTCCTTGTTTTGTTTTTTAAGATTTATTTATTTGTTATTTATCTAGCACTCTGCCTGTATACCAGACCTCACAATAGATGGCTCTGAGCTACCAGGTGGTTACTGGAAATTGAACTCAGGACCTTTGGAAGAACAGCCAGTGTTCTTAACCTCTGACCCATCTCTCCAGTCCCCATCTTCATTCTCACACAGCTCAGGTTACAACATAGACGCAGTCACAAAATCATGGCTCTAGAGAGGTGCAGCAGAGCCCAAGACTTACCAGGGGATCAAAAGCCTGAGGCCACAGAAGTAGCCAGAATGCAATAGATTTAGGATGAATCAAGCAGTGATGAAGTACCTTAATGGTCACCTCTTTTCCTGCGACCTGGATTGCCACATGCGCTTGAGAGATGTGGTTGTCAGTCACCCTCTCCACTCCTAAAATCTCTGTAGGAAGCAGGGGGTTCCCAGAACCTTGGAGCTCAAAGCGCTGTAAGTTAACAGAAAGATATACAAATTCACCTTTCATTTCAGAATTAATGTCAAGTAGCTGAAATTCTATTTAATTAGAACTGAAACCATTCTACATTATTTACACACGCAAAGGTTAGAAGTTAATGAGAATATTTTACTTTCTAGTAATACCTTTCTACTTGAACATTAATTAATGACACAAGAATAGTCCCTAATGTCTACTAACAGAAGGTGGAAATTCTCCATTCCTGAGCTGGTACAAGTTCATAATCCACATTTCTCAATAATATAACATTACAGTTTACTAGAAAGGGATGATTCTACTCTAGACAACACTTAAATGCAGCAGGTCTGTGTCAGGCACCTGCTGCTATTGTGTTCCCTAAACTCAGGAAAACAGAACTCAGACACCATTCAGCAGTCCCTTTGTGTAGATAGCTTAACTGACTAAAACACATTGCAGCCATCAGTCTTGCAAAGCACCTGGCATGGTGCCATCAGCACTGTACAGTTCCCAGTTTTGTGAATTGGGATTAAAAAGTCAGAACCACTGCTTGTTTCTTGATGTGAGCCAGTTTTTAACATTCTAACAAGGACTACATTTCCTTATGTGAGCTACCATATTAAAAATCCATACAGAGGATGGAGAGATGGCTCAGTGGTTAAGAGCACTGTCTGCTCTTCCCCAGGTCCTGAGTTCAATCCCCAGTAACCACATGGTGGCTCACAACCATGTATATGGAAATCTAATGCCCTCTTCTGGCATGCAGGTATACATGCAGATAGAGCACCAACACATAAAATAAATAAATAAATAAATCTTAAAAAATATATTTTGAATATAACCTAGAACCTCTGCTCGGATGTAGCCCATGGTAGCTCAGTATCCAAGTGGGTACCCTAGTAAGGAGAACAGGGACTATTTCTGACATGAACTCAATGGCAGGCTCTTTCACCTCTCCCCCCTATCCCCGAGGGAGGAGCAGCCCTGCTAGGCCACAGAGAAGGACTCTGCAGCCAGTCCTGAAGATTCCTGATAAAACAGGGTCAGATGAAAGGGGAGGAGGTCCTCCCCTATCAGTGGACTTGGAAAGGGGCAGGGAGGAGATGAGAAAGGGAGGGTGGGATTGGGAGGGAATGAGGGTGCGGGATGCAGCTGGGATACAGTTAATAAAATGTAACAAATAAAAAAATCCATACAGAGAGTAGATACATATGTGAAAACAAGAAATATTAATTGAAAATTTAAACCTGTGCTCAAAGTGTGTTCAATATGAAAAACAAAGGGCTTTTGAAATATTAAAAAGAAAAGTAAACTACACTCATTTTAGAACACTGTGATGAAAGATATACAGACCAATGAACAAACAACCATCTGATACTGAAAAAAATGACGGAACTCCAGAAAATAGCTTTCAGAAGAAAATTATGTTCAAACTCAATATTCAAACACAACAGCCCAGCTAAATCTTCATTCTGGAGACTAATCCCACAGGCAATCACTCCTTTCCAGAAATTTAAAAAAAAATTATTTGTGCAACCATAAAAATCGATGTTGAACGCTTTACATAATCCACATAGCACAGAACAGTGTGGTGAGAACTGCTTCCGTACTGCAACAACAAGTGACACATGGATTTCAGGGAGTGACACTATATTTCAAGGGAGACTTAAGAGAAAGGAACAAGGCACAGCCAAGGAATGAAATTCATCTAGATCAACAACCAAACAGCCATTATCTCCAAAAAAACAGGTGAAACCAAAGGTGTGTTCTTCCAGGTGTGGTACGTTTTCTAAGTGATAAAGGGTTTAAGTTGGAGCATGCATAGTCCAGAAACGATCACAAATGCATTCAACCATTTGCTACACTGGTTATACCCTTATAAGTAATTCCAGGTGAAACGTTTCAGTAGAGTAAGAAACATAGGCCAGATCACACTTCAGATAGCAGCGAAGCTCACCTTGCAAGGTGAGCTACCACTCAGAGGACTGCTAATCTGAATTAATCCTGGAGAAAAAGCGCTATGATTCAATACCATCTTAGAAAGGGATACCTGACATCATACTTTATAATTTTTTTATGAACTCTGAATTTCACTTAAACAAGCAGAAATAACACTTTCTAAAACACTTAGCGTCCACTAACTGCACTCTGATCTGTAATAAGATACATTACACTGATGTTGGTCTATAAAACTAATCCCTAATACCCAATCCTGACCCACTAAATCAGTGGTTCTCAACCTGTGGATAGTGACCCCTTTGGGAATCAAAAGACCCCTTCATAGGAGTTGCATATCAGATCTCCTGCATTTCAAATATTTACATTAAGATTCATAACAGTAGCAAAATGATAGTTATGCAGTAGAAACGAAAATAGTGTTATGGTTTGAGGCCCAACATGAGGAACTGTAGCAAAGAGTCACAGCATCAGAAAGGCTGAGAACCACGGCACTAAATGATCCTCTTTCTTCCTGCCTGTTTCTGGGCTACGGAGCACAAAAAAAGAAGCTCCACAGAGCATGTTCATCAGCCACCAAACAAGTTTATACTGTCCCTGTTCCCAAGAGGTGCTTTTCCTGTCTGCAGCTACTCAAACAACTGCTACTCTCCCAAGGAGTCAACAATAGGAGCCCATCTAGTGGGCATCAGCAGGCAATCTAGCTGGCACTGTCCTCTCACAACAGAGCCTTCAGGTAAACACACAGGCCTTACGAAAACATCAACCCTTTGAGAAAATACCACACACATCTATCTGACTCATGCTGCAATCTCTAGACCCCAGAATTATACATAGGATGTAGTCAGTGGTCAATAAAAGTTGACTAAACAGAAATACAAATGGAATTTTTTTTTCTTCATGTTCAAAATTGCCTATGCTTTGAGAGCTGTAGAGATGACCAACCCCTGACTATTTTTGGAGAGGACTCAAATTCAGTTTCCAGCACCCACATGACAGCTAGCAATCATCTCTAACTCCAGTTCCCTTTTCTGGCTTCCACAGGGACCAGACATGCTTGTGGTATATAGTCATACATGCAAGCAAAATATCCATGCACCTAAAATTAAAAAATAAACCTTTTTTTTAAATCCATCTATTTTTTTCATCAAAATCTTCTTTTCCTCCTTGTTCAATAAAAAAAAAAAAAGATTTCTATTTTAAGTCATTAAAAGTTATGAAAATCACATTCTAACTCTGGGTGAAAGGGTGTTTATATCACTCCAAAGCAAGATACAGTGATGCTCTAGAAATGTCCTCTCATTACTCAAGCCTTACAGTCCATATACCCCATGAACTTTGACCTTTGTTCCTAAAAGATGTTTGTCCTGTTACAAGAAACAGGCATTTCTTGAATTCACATCACTGCAGAGCCCCACCACCTTTTGCTTCAATCACCCCCAAACACACTTTACTAACAGGACGTCCTGCTCCATCTTCCTCTCTCCTTGGTGCTCTTATTTTTGGCTTAAATATTTGGCTCTGACTTTGGCTTATATTCCCTCTCCACTAACATTGCTCCTGGCAAATCCACGAACAACTACCGAATTTTATAAACTTATTTTGTTCCTATTTTACCATCTCTCCCTTCTCAGTCTACTCTGAAAGTTCTCCTCAATTTTCCCAACAACTTCACTTTAAGGCACATGAAGAAGAGATCATTTAACAAAAGTTATCAACTAAAAGAATATGGCATTCATTATGGCAAAGATCTTTCTTACAGTCTAATAGACTGAAACTTTTAATGACCCTCATGGCCAAGTGTTAAAACACACATTGAGACTAAGAAAACAACAACCTCACTTGCCTGAGATTTCCCGTGTGATTAACTTCTACAGCCTAAGCTACTGCACTGCTATGATCTTAAATTATGAACTCTTCCATGTTCCCCGCCCAAGGTTAACACATGTGCGTTTGTACATGTGCTATGATAACCATCTGCTAGAAACAGAAAATAGACTGAAAGACGCCGTATAAAATGAATATCCACCACAAACGCTGAATACGACATGGACATAGGATGCTAAGTCTATGATGTTTACAATAATGTTTGTAAGATTGTTATCTGGGTCAGTTGGAGTCAATGACTTCGTCCATTGTAAAACTGTTAAAGATTTCTGTAAAACAACCTTCATTCCTCCCCTGATGTGATGCTCACTGTACTGGTCAATGGCGGGGGTGGGGGTGGGGGTGGGGGGAGAGAAGCGCAAAGTCCTTTGTTAGAGACACGTGTGGCACAGACACACACAGGGACTGGGATAGATTCACAAGGCAGCATTGAGTCAGGGACAGATTCAGACTCATACAACAGACAGAAAGGAACAGTGAAACACACAGGCAGAGAGAAGTAGAGAATTCAAAACTGGGCTTGCTCTTGATTAAATGATACCAAGGGGAAGCAATTTGATTCCTTTTCCTAATTTGACACCAATATATTACTGTTAACTCTGACTTTATTATTAATGTGTTCAATGCATTTCCTTTCTTATTTTAAAAAACAATTCTACCTTATCCAGATACATCATTTTATAAATGATCTATTTCATGACACCTGGTTTTTTTCTTTCCAATCTATAAAATGCTGATCTATGCTACAGCCCCTCTGACATCTCCATGTTGATATCTAACATGCACCTCAATCAAATATGCCCGACCATGGGATCTGGATCTCCTACCGTCTCTCCCTCCTCAACTTCATCAATAAAAGTCCACAATCCAAAACACCTTGATTCCTTGATTGCTTGACTGAGCTCTGTATCCAGGTCACTAGCAGATCATATTGGCCCCACCTACACTTACCTCTTACCAACCTCATGGCTGGACAAAGCCCCAGAACCGCTCAACTGGATTAATAAAACCTACTGACCAACCTTTCTCTGCTTTCTCTCCAACACTCCACACATTTCTCATCTTAATCCTTAAGTATCAATGTTTCCAGGATTCAGTATCCAGTTTGTCTTCTTGCTCCCAGAGCTTATTGGACAATTCCCTATGGATGAATTCAACTAACACTCATA